ATAGGAAAAAAACTGACATTAAGACAAATATCTTTTGTATTACAAGTTTTTAGAACATTTATGTTTAAATATGCAAATTAGGTATTATCTAATTAAATATGCGCTAATTTGCATATAATTCCAGAAGAGAAATCTGAACATTGGATAAAGCCAGATTCAAAATTCTTGTTTCATTTTGTTGACATTATAGACTCAAATTTTTTTTACAGAGGGGATTTTGGATATCTCTTTTTATCACACCATTAATCAGAAAAAACTGTCAACAGCTATAAAAAAAATCAATTTTCGCCCCATTTTTAGGTATAAAATGTTGTATAAATCAGAATCTGAATGATATGAACAAACCCCTCTGTAAAAACCTTAAGACTATAGATAGGAATACAACTGGAAAGTTTGGTGTATGTAAGTGCTGCTGAAGTTGAGATTTATGGCTCAGAGTATGAGAAAAACCCCATTTTGAGAAAACGGCCTTTAAAGAATTGACATCAGTCAATGAGATTTTGTTTTTAGAGTTAAATGCCCCATTGTACTTTCACGATTGGTTGCTGATAAAAAATGAAATTACCATATTTGGATCCGACAACATTGTACAGGAGAGAGAGAGCTTTCCAATGGTATATGTGATGACAGGGTGCAGACAGCGATCGCGGAGCAGCATGTTGATTTAGAACGCCAACTTTTGTTGAATTTAGGAGAAATCTACAGACGCAAATAGACACAGTGTAGTAAAATAAAGACCTAAATGTGTATTTTGGACTTTTTTTCACCACAAGTCTGAAAGAAGACATGTTATTAAAGACAAATAGGGACTACGGGCGGAAAATAGCACTTGTGCTACAACCTGGCACAATGCATCTCTCTTTGTTTTTAACCCTCTGGGGACTAAGCCCTTTTTGGTCCGTTTCCTCTATTTTTACATTTGGGCTTATAAACCATATGTAATGGAGATGGAACACTATGTGTTTGGTATCTATGCATTCAGAAGACCCTAAGCTAACATAAGCATGCATGTAATGTGTTTATAAAGGAAGTATGAGTGAAAAATGTACAATAAACTAGAGAATTTCAAAAACGGAAATTAGATTTTTGTCATTTATTTCTGAAAATCACACATCACACAACAATAGTGAACAGTTTTTGAACAAAACATATATTTGTCAAAGCCTTTGCTTGACAGACATGTGTAATTGTTAAATAAAATGTGTAAAGAACAATGAAAAATTTAACTTTATTTACAAATAGTCCCAGGCGTTTTTCTTAGGAATGCTTAGAATTTTCTAAGCAATGCTTTCTCCTCGTCACTCTCCAGTAATTGTTCCAGAGCTTGTTCCACCGTAAATCGTTTACTGCTTGCCATCATAAAAGTGCTAAAACAATAAATAATGTTATAATTGTATGTATATAAATATATATATTATAATTGTCTCGCTCTCATTTTTCTCTGATAATCCGCTCCGTAAGCCTCCGTTCGCTCTCTCTCCTTCTCTCCGTCCATTCAACGCTGTTTGCGTCATATCCCTAACTATATAGTACCACCCCTTGCAAGGCTACAGAGTCCTCTGATTTGCTAGATACGTCATGGTAACCTTCCTCTGATTGGATAAGAAAAATATTTCTCCATCGGCAATTTTTTCATTGGTTGTTGTTCGCGGAATCTGCCAAACATCGATTTCATTGGCCTTTTACATAGTGGTATTGCGCAACAAGGAAGTGTGTATATTTACAAGCCGGGTAAGTTATCACTGTTTTCAGCGGAATCTGAGGAAGACGGTAAAAAAAGACCGCACCTCTCTATCATTAATAGTTTAAGATATTTAAACATTTGTAAAAGTATGCCATTTTGGGCGGTACTGCCCAATCCGTCCCCAGAGGGTTAAACAAGGTTAATGTTAAATTGTGCATTGTCCCTATTTAAATAAAATGAATAAAAAAATTAAAAAAATAGCCCAAAATCTTAAAATTGACCAGTGAAAAAAAAAAACTGTGTTTTTGCCTGCCGTGTCTCCCCTTAATGGAATAGGCCACTCAGGATGTTGAACTGGAATCTGAATCGAATGAGGAATGTACTGAATTCAGATACATTCAACAGGGAAATTTAACAGGAATTTAATTAATCCTACACAGATTTTGTGATGTATAGTTATTGCATCATTCATTTTGAATAATGATGCTGATTTATTCCCTGACATGTACAGTAGAATACTTATAATGCTGAATAATGTTTCCCCAATTGATTAGATATATATTCTCTAAAGTTTATTACTGTCAAAACAATTAAATATATTATATAATTAAAAAAAAGTATATTGCATTATCAACAGATAGGTAAATAATCTAATTTAAGACATTTTATAATATATATAATAATGTATCTGATAATTTTTTTAATTAAATTTCAATAGTTCATTAAAAACTAAACAGTGGAGTGTTAGAGTTAGTCAGTTCATTCCATTTACTTCCATACATTTTAATTCGAATTACAATTCTGAATCCTATTTGCTACCTCAAATCAAATTTGATCCAAATTCAGAAACTGAAATGAAATTAAAAAAACAATCTCAGTTCAATTCTAAATGGCACAACCATGGTGGGACCAGGCTAGCAGAAAATGCCCCTGCACAAATAAGCTAGATCTTTTACGGCTGTTACGATTAAAGTGAAATGAGAAATCATTGAAAAGTATTGATTGCTGTATTACAATTACAGTAGATTTGCTCATGTTGCATCATTATTCTTTTTATGCACTGTGTGCAGCTTTGAGCATTATAGCCAATCATGCACTTTTCTGTTGAGCATATGAATGCAATTTCCAATCAAAGGCATTTTGAATCGTCTGAGGTATTTAGTACGCATGCTCACTGACTGAATTCTAAATCTGTATTCGCAAATTCTCTCATCATTATAAACAACAAAGTCAGAAAAGATGCAAGAGATTTAAAGTTATGCACTTTCGCAAAAACTCCCGTTATAATCACTGAAGCGGTCTACTCGCATTAGACTGAAATCTTGGATCGCTTCAGAGTTCTTTGATTGCTCTCTTTATATAATTTCTTCCTAGTTTGAATAACCAATTTGTTTTTCATGCTACTGAAATTACCAATATGAAACTTTGATTTTCTAATCTGTAATAAGCAATAAACGGTTAAATGGTTCTTAGTTTGTTTTGTGCTTTTCCCCACAAAAAATAATTATTACAATATCAAGAGCAATAAACAACAATAATTATTTTTGTCATGATATTGCAGCTTTACCCTCTAATGCAGGGTTTTTCCTGCATAGACAATTATGAGGCGGCCGCCTCCGTCAAATTTCGTGCAGCCTCCGCCTCTCGACAAAACTCGGCCAGACAGTCACGTGCTCATATACACTTTTTCCACCGTGACAGTTCTGTCGCGATTCCCGCTTGTGTTCATTCTCTAACCGTTTAGTTTGCCGATAGTGCTGCACGGATCATAATCCGCGGGTCGAGCGGGCCGAGTAATAAAAACATTCCATTCAATCGAGGGTGGATGACAGCTAAATGAGTGTAATAAAGACACGGAACTCCCATCATGGTACCTAATGTACGGACGGTAACAAAGTTGCGCTGTTGAGTCTCGCGCAGTTATTTATAACATTAATTATAGTTAAGAAACAATATATCGGCTACACACGACCAGAGTGCTGTTTTCCTGAATGCCATCACGATTGAAACCAAGATTTCATAACAGTTCAATAAACAAATAGTTAAAATTAAGTTACTTACATTTTTAGACTGTTTTTGTTCTGTTTTAGCAGCGAAAATAGTTCCAAACAACAGAACCATATCGCGTCTCACAGCAACACTCATCCATGATTCATTACTGAATCATTCAGCGTTTTGAACTAATCGCTTGAGTCAAAGATTCAATTGCCCATTATTAAACCGCCTCATTCTGAATCAATCAGCCGTTTGAACGAATCGTTTACATTAATGACTCAATGACTCGCTCATTAAGACGGCCGCCTGCCGCCTCCTACTGGCGGTTTAGTTTCAAAGTATCATTCTTTTCAACATTCCTTGTATATTCAAAAAATATTCAAAATAATCTCATTTAATACAGTTATAATTTTTCAATGTAAATTATTTAATTTGATTGGTAACAGCCTAGTGTCTTATTATTTTAATTGAATGTATTGATAAAATGTAAGAATTTTAAATGAAATTTAGAGCATACATTAAATAAAATTAGGGGGAAAATGCCCTTTATAAAGGTACAAAAAATTATTCCGATAAGAGTGTTTTCAAAAATGAAACATTGACAATAAGTTTAAAGGGAGTAAAGCCTTCTGTTTAAGCTATAAAGAAAATGTAATTTTGCTAAAAGAAGAACTTTTAATTTAAATAAATGTTAATTGTGTGATATGTTACCATATTATCATGCTTAATTGAATAATTGTAATGTGATGATCAGATGCAGATATCTAAATCAAAGAATATGGGTGGTTGGCGGGTGGATTATTATTTATTTTTAACAACAGATTCGAGTGACTCAAATTGCACCAGATTAATGAATTTATCTTTAAAATGTACAAAATTTTCTCCCGGGGGGGCATGCCCCCGGACCCCCCTAGTGTTACAATTTTAACACATCCGCCTCATTTTGAGCCAGGAAAAACCCTGCTCTAATGAGTTCCTATTTTTTAATTTATAGGCTATTTACATTATGCAATTTTTGTGTAAATACATGTACATAAGCAGCATTAAACAGTCTATGTATATAAAAATAAATGGCATGTCAGATGCAGATTCTGTTCCACCTTGCAGTATAAAGATGACTTTCGTTGTAATAGCACTGTGATTGATTGTAACTGGTAAAATTGAAGTATTTGACATAAAAAACAACTGATACATTTAATAAGGTAATATTTTAAAAATTGTCCCTACAAAGGTAAAAATGCCCCTGGAGGGCAATTGATCGTCCATCAATTCCAGGGGGCAAATACTCTCACCCTAACTGATATAATGAGATGCTTCCTACCTGTGCATCCATGAGCAGGTGTCTCATTAGAGCCATGGATTGGCTCAAAGTATCTCTCTCGGTGGGCAGAAAGGTGTCCTCTTCGTGGCTCATGGCATTGGGTCTCTTCACCATGAAGTGAGCGATCTGGTCGTTCAGGCTGTTCAGAGATTGCACAGCTGGAGAGAGCAAATGAAAGATGGATCAGAATCATTCCTGAGCGCACACACTTGTACTATATCCCCTATATGGGTTTCATATTTTATTATGGTCAAGTTTACGTTATACAGCAACAACCGCCCATACATAAAGCACTGTTATAACTTCACTGATGGAATAATTGCCTTGTCATTTATATCAGATAACATGAGGCCATGAGACTCTCTGAGATGTTATTGCTTTTCTTAAATTGCTCTGGGCAAAAAGAACATAAAAATAAAGCCAGCATTGGCACTCCATTTGGACCAAGCGTCAACCATAGCAATCAAAAGCCCTTTTCACACGTGTGTAGGGCTTTCAGTGTTTCTGCAGCTCTTACAGAAAAAACACATTGAGCATTTACCCAGTAATAGCCAAACATTATAAAATAACTGTCATTGTGTGTCATTAAGAATGCTTGCAAACATGAAATCTAATTTACATTTACACTACCATGTAAAGGTTTGGGGTCAGTAAAAAAAAAAAATATATATATATATATATCATGGTTTCCACAAAAATATTAAGCAGCACAACTGTTTTCAATATTTGAAAAAAATAAGAAATGTTTCTTGAGCACCAAATCAACATATTAGAATGATTTCTGAAGGATCATGTGACACTGAAGACTGCAGTGATGATGCTGAAAATTCAGCTTTGCCATCACAGGAAAAAATGATATATAAACAGATTTTTTTTTTTTTTTTTAGAAACATTTCACAATATTACCGTTTTTACCACAGTTTAGATCAAATAAATACAGCTTTGGTCAGCATGAGTGACTTTCAAAAACATAAATAATCTTACTGACCCTAAACCTTTGAATGGTAATTTATATACTAGCCTATATAAATGGTAATTAATCTACAAAGAACATAACCCAAACCCAAAGAAGAAGTTATAAACTGCTTAAATCGTCCAGATTCAGTCAGATTTCGTTTTTGTGTGCACGTCTGGCTTTCCCTTTCTTTCGATGGTCTACCTTAGACATTCTACTAACTATAAGTAATTTTGCAACTAGCCTACAAGTCAACTAACTCTCATTAGAGTATTAGTAGACTGTAGTAGATAGTTAGGGTTAGGTGTTAGGGTTTCGGGTTAGTAGAATAAGTTGACATGTAGTTGCAAAGTTACTTATAGTCAGTATGAAATCTGTTCAAAGAAAAGTTTATATAATAAAGGAACATTTTGATAAATACATTTATAGTGTATACACAGTCAGTGTGTTTTCTGCTTGTGCACGTTGCAAAAAAAAAAAAAAAACGATGTATGCATCACTCTGACATGAATTTGACCTGTATGAATTAAAAAAAAAAGTTGAAACTTTTTACCATGTTGCAATTCCAATATTTCATCACAGTCAATAGCCTGGGTTTCCCATCATTGGCAAAGGTGTGCCCATGTGCATGACCTCAGCTGGTATGTGTTTGGATTGCAACCCTTCAGATGATTCGGCTCATTGGCATGCAGTCTGCCTTTCTCTAATCCTTCTCCCATGGGATCGGCAGCTCCCCGCGCAAGCTTCCATTTACCATTAATCCCTCTCACTTAGCGAAGGCTGCCAGAATTATTGTAAGTCCATTACCACTGTAGAAATCTCACATCCATGCCCATTTTAATGCATTTATTCATAGTTCCGGGCAATCACGCCTGACCCTTGTTTGCCTCTATCAATCAATGCATCAGCGTATCCAACAGATTACACGAGGCACATCAGAATTCTTCCACACAACATCACAGGGAAGAGTATTCAGTATGGCATTGACCTCAGCTGGCCAGGAAGCTAATGCCGACACATACAGCCAATAATTAGTTTTAGTTCGACTCATCAGCTTTGATGGTAAACAAGTCAGTGCTGCAGGGTCATACAGAAGGAGTGAGAATTAGACAGACAGAAAAAGAGGTCATCATCCACTCACCCTCATGTCGTTCCAAACCTGTATGACTATTTCTGCTGAGAACACAGAAGGAAAAATACTGATAGAATCTACCTTGGGTTCAACATTAAGGTATGAGAGAGTTTCAGGACAGGTGTCAGAACTGTCACTTGCACTACTGGGCCAGCGCTATATCTTATATTTTATCATGTACATATATTTCTATACCTTGCAAATGTAAACATTTCGTTTTCTGTGATATTGGGCAGTGAAATCTTCTTCTCTGAAATCTACTTTTCAAACTTGTCAGGTAGGAAAAATGATCTACAAAACTGTGATATTGTGACTTGTGATCGTTTTTAGAAGCATCAGCAAAAATGGATTGAAAATTACGATCATTAATGTTTTGCCATGTTTTATTTTCCAGCAAAAATGTTTATTGAGTTTGTGTAATTATAATCAGTATTGCATTTCCGGGTAATATTGCTAATTGTATGGTGGCCGAGAGCTCAATGCGTTACAACTGAAAATACTTATATAGAACACCTGTGTTGTCAAACTGATGAAGATGTTTTCTTAATTTGCTGATGTTTTTTTCTATTGGCATATGTTTTCATCAGTTGCAGTTCATTGAGCTCTCTCAGACACCATATAATTGTCTTGAAAATTAGCAACACTAAGGGTGCTTTTACACTGGGCTCGTTTGCTGCGGTCCGAGACCGAGCGCGATTGATCCCGGTTGTACCGCAGCGTTGGTCTGGTTCAACTTGATTCTATCGAACCCTGGTGCGTTTGCGTGCATATTACGTCATCGCAAACGTGCACGTCGCATGATAGAAAACAGAACGCGGTCAACAAAAAAAAAAGATCCCACCAGTAATGCACTGACTAACATTAACTAACAATGAGCACAAATGTTTTAATATTTATTCATATTTGGTAATAATAGTAAAAAAAAAAAGTATAATAAAATATACTAAAAAGTTCATTTTAAAATAAAATAAAACATTTGGGAAAAAAATTTAATACGCAAATGTGAAGTTAAATAATTTATTATTTTAAATTTGTGTAACGCACAACCTTGGGACTTGACAGCCCCAGATCCCATTCACTTACACTGAGAAAAGAACATTCTGTTCTCCTTTTGTCTTCCACAGAGGAAAGAAAGGCATACATGGTTTGGAATGACATGACACAAGAATGAGTAAGCAATGACAGATTTAAAAATTTTTGGGTGAACTGTTTTTTTAAGAGTCCGGCTAGTGCGCTTCCCCTGCAGTTGTTATTCAACTAGGGAGCCTGTTAGTGCTCAATGCATCATGTGGAAAAGCAGCCCTGGCTGATAAGCTTCACTATGTTTAAAACCTCAAGAAAATAGTAAATATTACTTATACTCCATCTGTTCTGTCCACAAAAAAAAAAAACATTTCCATCTTTCACAAACATCGATTCTCAGACAGACAGATAGATAAAAAAATAGATTACGATAGATAGATAGATAGATAGATAGATAGATAGATAGATAGATAGATAGATAGATAGATAGATAGATAGATAGATAGATAGATAGATAGATAGATAGATAGATAGATAGATAGATAGATAGACAGATGAACCTCAAACCTTTGGCTTACCAGGTCAGTTATATTTATCCACTATGGTGCTGCCACCCTATTAACAAGTGATAGAATATGGAGTCATTCATTGGATGAATAAAACAAGGACCAGTTTGATCTCATAATGCACAGTTAATGAAAACTTAATTAAATTTGGGAGGATGTGACTCAGCAGATCCAAAGGCCCTTAACAGCAAAGACAAGCACAAGGGCATGAAAGAGTCTTTACTATCTTCCTTTCGCACTGAGGTATGGATTTAAAATCTGGTGCAGTCAGCTACAGCATTGCAGGGGTCATTTAAGATTTGAGAAAGATACCTTCACATAGAGACAGCAAATACTACCGTCTCCTCTTAGAGAGAGTTTTCCAAGCAGTATATCTTCCATTTTCCATGGGGGTATTGTTTTTCGTGTGATCGGAGATGCTAAAATCACATTTCAGGAAATACCACAATATCTCTGCTATTGCTGACTGTGGCATAACACAATGCTGGAACGGAATCACATTGTTTCCTTATTATCCTCACCCACTCTAGAGATAAAAGTCAGGAATCTTGTTTTTAAAAACACTGAATCCGTTCACCAAAAATGGGAGAAGTTGCTTAAAAATGGCACTGCTGAATTGGAAGTTTTGCTGAAGTTTGTGCATTGCGTAATGTCAAAAACACAGATCGTGATAAACTTTTTCACCTTTGTGTGGATCAGAAAAACTTGTTTTTTTTTTCCGGGACTGAATTGTCAAACATTTGTATGTACAGAAATATACAACAGAAATATTTCTATATAACATACTGTTGCTACTTTCATTCTACTTTCGTATCCTTCCACTATCTTTCTCAATGCAAGTTAGAATTTCTCATCTTACAACTCAAAATGGTTACAGCACTGTACTTTTTTCCCTAAAATTTACCAAAAATGTAGAAGCAGATAGACCTGGTTTCAGTATTTTGAATAAGTGTTGTTGTTGTTTTTTTTTAAATGTTTTCACTTGAAAAAATCTGCCAGTGTGGTACAATTAAGTTAGATATATTCTCTGAAAACAGTTTGTAACACCAGTATTGATATGCAGTGTTGCTTAATTCTCAAGTAAACGTGTTGTTTTAAGAATTTAGAGATATTTGAACTGGGGGGGCGACGACGGGCGGACTAAAATACATAGCCTATTACGAATATTATTTATTCATTTTATGCACCTTTTACCCAAAAGCAAATAAGATTAGAAAGCATGAAATGCTAATTTTGCAGTGCTGCGACTGGCAAAAATGGCCTCACGAGATTTCAGTATTAATTTTATGATGGGCATAAACCCTTGATAGATGATTAGAAGCTCAAGTGTCTCCAGTTAAAACTCCAATAAAAATGGAAAGAAAGAAAAACTGGTAGAAAATACAAAGAGCTGAGAGAGAACATCAACTAGAGGAAGATGTGTTACATACAGCTAAATAGTAAAATAGTATGTTTTCCAAGTAGAAAAAGTAACTTAGAATC